ATTTAAGACTGAGATAGTTGGGTTCTTGATTGTCAAGGAGATCATGGGTTAAGGGGAAAAAGCAAGAAAATGGGGTTGAGAAACTTATCAGCCATGATTGAATGGCAGAGCAGACTCAATGGGCTGAATGGCCTAATTCCTGCTCCTATGTCTTATGGTCTTAGGTTTGCCTATCAGTCAAGAGTGAGCTGCAGGATAAACGATACACGTTCATCCTAGGAAATGTACATTAAAAATAATCGTTTCTCCTTATAACTTCCTCATGTTACTGACTGTCAACAAATTACACCAAGGTAGACTATATTACAGGTTATGAAACTACAAATTGGGTCTGTGAAGGATTAAAATGAAGAAAAGAGGAGCAAACCACGGAGATTCTCTAAATTCTCTACTGTTTCCCCCATCTGTTTCTTATTCCTCTTGCTGTTGTGACTCTTCCACCAGTTGTTGACCAGATGTCAGTTTTCAGTCTCAGGAAGGATAAAGGCACAAGGGTGGGGGTGGATGAGGGATGGGCCAAAAGCAAGAGGCCCATACTTGTAAATCAGGATAGATTACAGGATGAGGGAGAAAGAAGGTGGATGAGGTAGGAATAAAATGTCATCCTCAAACTAATCCAAGCCGCATGTAGATTTCAAGCCCATTGTTGACACAGCCTGGGATGTAACTATCTCAATGACTGCCAACATCATTTCCTCCACGGGCCTGAGAAGGACATGAAACTGTGTCTGCATCCTACTGGTTAGCCGCTGTTTCTTCCAATTGTGAGCTTTTTTGTCCTGCAAGAGAAAGGTGTGTGTAGCAATAAATGTGAATATGGTGCAAAATGTTTGGAAGATGTACCTGCCACAGTTGAAAAGCTGGCAGTATGTGCATAGCATGAGATATGAGTATGTGACCTGCAATAGTGCTAAAGGAGGTGAAAGTGAGGTGAAGCTATGAATGAATTGTGTTTCATTGAAGATAGATATCGTTGATAAGTTAATAAAGTAGGTATGGTGAATGGAGCAGTGTGAGTGGCTGGTCCTTCATTTGTAAGGAACTGCTCTCTGAAAATTAATTCACTGACCATTTATGTGAGGTTATCAAACATCTTGTAATACTGCAGCCATGTTGTCAAGGCAACACTTCCAGCATTGACAGTGATCTGCTCTCACTGCCTTCTCAGTCTGTTTGGGATACTCCCAGCCCTTAGAGGAGAGGAGCTCTGTCTTCTGGTGCCAAGACGTCTGGTGTTGCATCACATGATCTCCACTCAGATGATCCAATCAAGCAAGCTTTATGTGGTGCTAGCCTCACATGCTGAAGTGTACAACCTGTCAACAATACATTCAGCATTGACTGCATACCACTGTCATTCAAATAGCAGTAGCATAAAAGTTTGCACACTGTCTGGAATACTTCCCTTTTTATTCATAAAATGTGGGTGTCACTGGCTGGATCAGCATTTATTGGTCATCCCTTATTGCCCCTGAACTGAGTGGATTGCTAGGCCATTTCACAGACCACCATATTGCTTGGGTCTGGAGTCACATGTAGACCAAACCAGGTAAGGACGGCAAATTTCCTTCCCTAAAGGGCATTAGTGAATCAGATGGGTTTTTACAACAATTGACAATGGTTGTTATTATACATTTTTAAAACTGATATCAAATTTCACCATGTGCCGTGGTGGGATTTGAACTCCATGTCTCCAGACTACTAGGACGCTAGATTGCTAATCTAGTGATACTACACTACACTTTAGCCTCCCTTTGACAGGCACAAGTTACTGGCGTACTTACACACACTAATTTCCAGACAGGAAAGTCTGGAAGCTTTTATCGAAGTTCTGGTGTACTTCATGCAACTTGCATCCTTATTGAAACATATGAGCATGAAATAATAGGGATTTGCTATTTATCTCACTGTCAGGCAGGGCTATAAGCATTACATTGTTAATCTTTATTACCAGCCTTTTGCTGAAATAGCTGCTGTATCCATATTTCCTCTTCATAGGTTGGGAATTTAAGTTTTTAAATATTAATACTTTAAAAAGCAAATTAGTATTCCTCTATAGATAACACAGCAGGCCAGGCAGCATCAGAGGAACAGGAAAGCTGAGGTTTTGGGTCAGGACCCTTCTTCAGAAGTTTAATTGCTCTTGTCTGTGGAAGTGGTTTTCTCTCTGTTACATGTGTTTTCGTGGAAGCACTAATGGTTTTTCCCGCTCTTTGCAATAAGCCCATCGATAATGGAGCTGAACAGTCTCCTTCCAGTCATTGCTCTCACACCTTGACACTTTGTAACTGTTTGCAACCTTGCTAAATATTGGTGGTTCAACTGTTCTATGTTTGCTGAATGCTGTCCAGCTGGGACTGGGACCTCCTCACAGATTACATTACCACCTACCTTTGCATTGTCAAAAAACTTGGAATACTAGAGTACTGTGGGTGGGAAGACAAAGACAAATTTTGTCAAAGCTTCTCATCTTGCCCTCACCAGGACAATTTGCAAGAGCACCAGTATAAGGGGAAATCCAGCGTTTTCTGCAGGATTTTTTTCAGCATTATGACCACTCAACAAATATTTCTAAATGTTACATCTGATTCCCTCAATCAAAGTCACAAATTGGATATAATCAAGGCTCAAACCTTCTCTTTCTGGCACTTACTGGCTCATCTTACCTTCCCAGAAAATGGCCTGTTTTATGTCCCAACTGTGGGGCCTTGGGTAGTGTTGTAGAACAGAGAGACTTAGAGGGTCAGGTACATAATTCTTTGAAGTTTGCATCACATATAGATAGGGTG